AAAAGAGCTGGCATTTCACTACCTTTTCCCTTGTGCTTTCTATTATCCAGTCACGGTCTGATCTATATGTAATCATGTTGTGTGTGTGTGTAAAGAAACATCACTACTGTGCCATAAGAAACCTGGAGAACCTTTGCTCCTGATGGAATACACTGCTGACGGCGTCGGAGCACAGACTCGGCAGCGACTGGCCAGACGTTTTAAAAAGTCGGTCGGTTTTAGTCTCGGCAGTGCGGGCAGCCTGCTCCGTCTCTTGTGCCACATGCTGGCAAGAGCCGCGAATTACAGAACAGAGACATTGACAGCGGGTAGCTGGAATGTGGAGCTCAGGCGCTCAGGGTGGTGGGAAAATCCTGTGAGCAGAGGTAGGGAGGATGTGCTGGCACACCGCCGAGCTGTGCGGGGCACCTTGCACCCACAGAGCTCACATCCGACACAGCTGATGCACTCCAGTGTCCGCACTGTGCTGGCAGGGTGTAGTTGCTCACATGAAACACTAGAGTACTATATTTTTCTGGGGCCTGTGCAGACTTTTGGCTGGCTCCTTGGAGCTCCTTGGCTGGCTCCTTGGCTCCGTTTGTCTGTGTGGTGTTCTCTGTTCTGGTGCTGCAGATGGTCATGGCTTAATCTCTTGGGCTGTACGGGCTGTGGAGGAATGCTTGTCTTTTTCCATTCTTCAGTTTCCTCCTTTGAGGCTATGCGTTGCTTCCGAACAGGATTTATCACAAGCTGAAGGGGGCCACCTCCTTTCAAAATCTGTGCAGTATAGCATTTTTATATGTCACAGATCAGCATCTGAAACAGATAAATAAACATAGTGTATTATTAGCAAGTGCTTGATATGCTAGGACTTGGTCCAGAACCCACTGAAACTGGAATTTTTCCCTAGGCGTTTAGAGAAAATAGTTGAGGGAAAAAAAATCAAGATTAATTCTAACATCTGCTCAGTGTCTGTGACATGCTGTGTCACTGAACTATTTCCTAACTGATTAGCAGGTTCCCAAATCAATGTGGAAAAGGCACATACAGGGTTGATATCAAAACCTTCTCTCCCCTCTCTAAGCTGTAAGCGGGTAAGGAACACAACTTGCTAGTTTGCAGCCTCCTTACCAGACGAGTAGTCACAGGAATTCACTAGAGAAAACTCTGACATTTCTTTCCTCTCCCTTCTTCTTAAAGTAATTTTTTTGGCAAGGACATAAGGCCATGAATGATTACAAGGGGATAGGTACCAAGTGCTGCAGGTGAGGAGAGAAGGTTCATTGCACCAAGTTTCCAGAGGTTATAACAAAATAGTTTTCGAAAATCCTCATACAGCTCCCTACTGTGACTCCATTTCTGATATGTGAAAGACTGAACTGAGCTTTGAGTAGCACCAAAAGACAAAATTCAGTGTTTTGGGATGTAAGAAGAGGCAACACTAGAGGAAGGTATTAGGTTTTTACTTAAAGGAATATGTGGCAGCTGAGAGGTAACAGAAATTCTGGTACAGTGAAGGGACTGTTTCTTTAAGATGTACAGATAATATTCCTCCCACACACATAATATTCCTTGCACACACACTTGTAAATAATCTGCACACCCACAGCCTTCTTGGTAGCCAGTTAAATTTCACTAGCTAGGGTTAACATCTCTGCATCCTTCTGCACTGGGCTTCAATACAGCCCTCATCCTCCCTAAAATACTTTGAAAGCTGTAGGTGGGCAGATCACAGCCAGAGTGTTTCTCCTCCTTTACTTTCATGATCTCTCAGCTTGCACAAAAAAATTTGGTGGCAAAGAAGAGATGAGAAGGAAGAGCAAAATTGTCAGCAATTCACTTTGCTCTTTACCTCATCTTTCAGCCCGTGCCTTCCTTTCCATCTTCTGTTTCTCACCTCTGTTGGCTGATAAGCACATAAGTGGCTAATGGTGAATATCCTGTCTTAGTGCTGAAGGTCAGGGTCACTCCTGGGGTTGCCCACAATAAAGCATTTATATGTGCTAGAGCCACATATGTGCTTTATGCTCCTTGCTCCTCCTGTGTGTATCACAGTAGGATATCATTTCAGCAAAACTCAGTCAGCAGGAACAGGGAAAAAACCCTCTTTATTCTCTCGCTAACGTTTTTGCTTCATAAGCTCTCTGGGGCAAGGACTATGTTTTTTATTATCTGACTGGGAGGAAGTGGCCTTGATTTCTCAGGTAGCTTTAGACACTAAAAAAAGAACAAATACTGAACATCAGCAACCTTACAGGTATGGGCAGCCAGAGACAGCAGGTGTTCACCTTGCACGACAGGTATGAAACATGTCCTCTAACTAAATGTAAAAATCCTTAGCAGGATGCGGCTGACAATGAACAATCCCAGGAAATTCATGTTTCATGTTGAATTTGACCTAATACCTGCTGGGAAAATTCAGTGAAGGTGATAGCACTTTAAAACTTGGAGTGCCAGGTGGTTATGGTATGGTGGTGCATTCCCTCTCCTCTTCCTCCTTCTTCAGCTGCACCGTGATCTCAAAAATGCTCATGAGGCCTCAGCCTCGATGAACAGCACCTGGGCTAAGCCCCTCTTGAGCTTATCAGAAACACTGTCTACTCCCAGGAACTTAAGCTGTCTAATGAGCTTCTGATTTTTCACAAACAGCCTTGGGAACTTCTCTTGCCTGAAAAACAACCCAAGTGGAACAACATTTTTGTTATCAAACTTCCAAAGAAAGTTACTGACCCAAATTGTGGCCAGGATGAAAAATTGCTATGACTAAAGCCAACTCCCTTGTGATTCTATAAACAGTGGTCCTTAGTGAGATCCTCTGAGCTCTCCTGGACCACAGCAGGTTGCAACCAACAATCTTTCTCTGAGTGGGACCATCCTCAGACCTAGTGGACTCTCAAGTTTGCAATATTCGAAGGACCGCCACCAAATGCCAAGGACAGAGCCTGGGCTGATACAAAGGCATCCTACACGAGTCCTTCACAGAATTTAAGGAGAATTTTTCACAGGTATGTACTTTGTACATGCTCTTTAGGTCTGTGTGCATGTGAACATGCTGTAGCAAATGTACTATGAAGGTTGCTCTCTTAGATTCTTAAGTACATTAGATTTGTAACTAAGGTTTATAAGTGAGTTACTGTTGTGTTACAGTAAATTCTGCGCTCCCCCCATGACAGTAAATTCTATATGACTCTGTTGCTAAATTGTTTAAATTAAGCTACTCATTAAGTGCTGTTAAGTGCTGCTGAACCTTTAGGCCTAGTTGGTCAAGTCAGGGCCTAAGTTTGGCAAGGGAGTCCACTCTGAACCTTGTGACTCAGTGGGAGGGTCTCCCTTATTCCTTTTTATCCTTACCATTTCCTATCCATATGCTTCCCCCCACCCCTCACCCTGCCTTTCCTATCCTTACACTTCCCCACACTCCCCTCAGCCTCCATGTAAATAATTTTTGGGTTGATTTTGGTTTTAGATTGATTGATTTCAGATTTTAGTTTGCTTTTCCTCTGTGTGCTTTAACCATCTGGTAAGTAGTAGAGTGAACCTTGCCAGTGAACTTTGTTGCACTTTCACTTTTATATTAACCCTGCTTTTGCTGATATCTTTGCTGTGATTCTTTAAGCAACCTAAAACATTCATTCGCTACATATGGTTATGAACATGATGCATCTCACCAGCCACTTTATATCTCTGTTTTATATTTCTCTAGTTTTATTTCACTCATTAGAGTAAAATAAAATGACTTTACTCTGAGCCATTTTCCAAGAGGAGCTACTAACAGGATGGGAACAATAAAGTCACTTGTGTATTTCTAGCCCTTCTGAAACTGCAGGCTGTTTCAAAGCTCATCCTGCTGCCAGGCCACCACTCATTGCATGAGTTCTTGTGCTGTAGCGGAGTGGGACAAGATGATCACAAGAGGACTCTATTAACATAAATAATTCTGTGCTTCTGTGAATACCTGATTAAGTATTTCAGATTAATTTGGCTGCTTATTCAAATGCTTTCTGGCACTGTTCCCAGTGTGGTGGAGCAGTAGAGAGCACAGACCCTGGTCACAGAGTAGTTAGGGTTGGAAGGGACCTCTGGAGATCATGTAGTCCAGCCCCCTTGCCAAGGCAGGGTCATCTAGAGCAGGTTACACAGGAACACATCCAGGTGGGTTTTGAACGTTTCCAGAGAGGAAGATTCCACAACCTCCCTGGGCAGCCTGTACCAGTGCTCTGCCACGCTCATACTCCCTCACATCCTTGGTGTGTTGTGGAGTTACCCCATGGCCATGCCTGGGGGAAGCCCCTGTGCCTGGCCATCTGCATTGTAGCCCTTCCACGGGAGTGACTCCTGGCCCAGGGCCTGTCAGCTGAGGAGAAATGGCTGGGACTCAGGCAAGCAGCACCTGTGACCTTGAGCCCTTCCTCAGCACAAAGGGTCTGGGATAGGCTGGGGCAGCCCAGGTGTGCCCAGGATGGAGGGCTCAGCGCTCACCTGTGCCACAGTGGGGTGGGTTTGTTTTTCCTCTGACTCCTGAGCACTGCCTGAGGAAAGGCCAGGAGGGAGGTTTGAGCCTGGTAATTTCTCCCATCTGGACCCAGCGAGGGTCTGGCTGGAGAATGAGGACATTTGAAGGAGGGGCAAGGTGCCCTGGCCATGAGGGAATTGCAGTGAAGTTGTGCAGCGCAGTGGGCTCGGGGAGGGCCTCCAGGGCCCTTTCCCACAGGAAAGGTGGGGGTGTGAGCCCGGTGAGTCACAGGGAGAGCTGCCACCCCTGAGCAGTGGGGACCTGTCAGCTGCAGCCCTGCAGAAGCCAAAGGGGCCGAAAGGTGCGGGGATGCAAGGGTTGGCGCCATGGCTGAGATGGCGTGAAGGGCCCTGTTCTTCAGAGGCCGTGGGCACAGGGGCACAGCTGGCTGGGCTGGCAGGGCAGGTGCAGCCATGCGGGCACAGCCCGGAGCCTGCGGCAGCGGCCGATGGGGCTGTGTCACTCGCACCCAGTGTCACTCGCAGCAGCCGTTGAAACTGCCGGTGCCCAGCGTCCGTTGGAAGATTCTAGTGGCTGGAAGGTTCTGGAAGGCTCTCAGCAGTTCTGGCAGTTGCCACAGCAGTTGCTGCAGCACTTGAAGGCTGCTCCTCTAGCCTGGCACCTGTGCTCTGGCTGTAATGGTAACTAAGCTGCACCTCCTTTTCCCCTTCCCCCAGCCCACACCAGCTGTACTGGGAATGCCAGGGTTTGACCCCAAACCAGGGACCTGAGGAGGTTTTGCGGCTGTAAGTGACCCAGCAGGCACCACTGCGGGGTAGAAGCTGCTGGGGAAGGAGTGGGTGTTACACAGCAGGGCTGGTGCCAGCAGGAAATCCACTGAGAAGTCTTTGCTGGCTCAGGAGGGCCCTGTGCCTCCCACTGTTGGAGACTGGGGGGTATCCAGGAAATTACCACTGTGTGCATGGCCTGTTCTCAAATTATTGCTGCGCCTCCTCTTTTGGCCACTGTCAGAGGCAGGGACTGGGCTAGAAGGACCTTTAGCACATGTTGTATGTAATTTTAGGAAGCTCTTCGAACCGCTCTCTCCCTGAACATCACGGCATTTTTTGACAGCCTAAGTGCAGGCCACCTGTTGCAAAAGGAAAGGAATATGTATGTTAAACCGTATAACAGATCTAGTGGCCTGTGCCATACCTGTATTTTTTAACATACACCACGAAGTCCTAGACAATTTACGGACCCATCTGAGTTTCCATAGGGAACCAATGTTGAAATAAGGGTACTTAACTGAGCAGATGCTGTGTTTTAAGACACTTATGATATAACAACTGAAAGGCACTATGTCTATACCTTGGATCAAGTCCAGGCAAAAATAATATATGCCACACTAGCAGCAGTCATGCCTGTATTTCAGGAAATCTAAGTTTTCTCAGGGCTAGCTTCGGAATTGCCCCGAATTGTTGCTATATGATAAGAAAAAACAAACTAAGATGCCAAGCCAAAGTTTTACAAGTGAAAACCTAATTAGAACAAATATATTCCTACAAATTGATGATTGCAGTTTTCATATGCACATTTTAATCAAAAATAAGGAAATTTGAAATATGAATTTTAGTATTTTTGTGAGTTCTCTTAAGACTCTTCGCTGTCGTTGTCTCTGGTGAAGATAGGGCAATGGTGAGTCATAGTCATAAAAGGTAGATTGTAAGACCACTTCCGATGAAAAAGATTTGTATGCATAAACTAGAAGTAATAGGGGAATCTGTGTGCTTCTTTCCTAAGTTTGAGGTTCTGCTTTGCACTGAGTGAATTTTAATTATTTCTAAATATTCGAATTACATGATTGCACCTAGATGTATGCATCATAAATGCAGGAGGTACAGCCTAGATGAGGAGGAAATGTAATTTTATTTTTCAGTTTATTCATTTTTACTAGGTAAAAGGACTCAGAAAGGTTAATTTCCATGATCCTCAACAGACACTCACTGAACTTGTCTTTATTACATTTCTTTTGGTAAGTTAAGTAGTTGAACCTCCTCAGTTATGGAGGCGAAACTCACTGAGGTTGTTAATATTTAAGAAGACTAAAAACCACCTTCAAGGTGTGTGATTGACATGCAAGTAACGTGTTTGTGTTTTCTTTCTACAAAATCAAGTCTGCAGTGCTAAGATAAGTAGGTTATTCCTAGGAGAACATAATCATTGGAGAAGCAGCAGTTAATTCAAAGTTAATTTGTTTTAATCCATCTCAGCGTTTTTGCCTTTCTCTCATGATACAAATTTAAATTCCATGTTTTCTTCTACTGTAAGTTCAACTACGTACTTATGGTTGTTTAGCATTTTACAATTACACTGGTGCTTAGAAGGTTTTAATATGTATCAGATAAGCATCTGAACTTGATTCTTCTTTTTTTTTTACATCTTTATTAGAAGCCATGATGAAGCTACTGGATCTGATTCTGCTACAGCTGAGAGTAGTGTTAAGTTAGGATTGATTGCTGAAGTCAAATCATTCTGCAAGCGAAGTACAAAACTGCCTGTAAAGTTCTTTGGTAAGACCATTTTTATTAAAAATGTGCATTGATTTTAGTGGCGTTGTATCTTCTTACATGAGGGAATACTGCATCTGAACAAAACAGATGCTGTCCACCAACAGCTTGCACTATTGGGTAAATTTCTATGGAAGCAAGCAGAAACTCTCTTGGAGACCAGAGAAATAATTACTGGCTCAAAACAACTGAAGTGGGGGGGGGGGGGGGTAGCAATGCAAGTTCTGCTGGGGTGGGGCTGTACGCTGCTCCACACTCTACCACTGGAGCCTCTGGTCCAGCCCCAACGTGGCTACCAAGCTACTGGCACAATGAAAGCCCTACCTGGGGAGAGGGCCCTGGGAGACCAGAGCAGATAAAAGGCCGTGACACAGGGGTGACGCTGACAGGTCCCACTGCCCTGGACCTTACAGCTCCTGAGACCTCGCTGGATCCAGGGTGGTGACTACTGATCTTTCTCTCTCCTTTTTCACTCTTTTTCTCTCTTTCTTCTCCTGACATCCTGTTCTCAAAATCTGGGTATCTTAAAATCGGACTAAGTCAGTGCTTTCTGAAGTGCCTTACTTTGATTGGATGTTTGCTTTAAAATTCGCCAAGTACCTTTATTCTTTATTCTCCAAGTACCTTTAAACTTTATTCTCTAAAGTTTTCCAATAAAAGTTTACTATTCAACCTCCTGAGTAGTTTGTTCTTTTCTCCTGTGCACCGCCAAAGGGAATCGAAGTGCCTAAGCCCCTTTAAAAACGTGAGCTCAGGGTGTAACAAACTCATTGCCAATTTATGTCAAGATTGGAAGTATCTCACAATAAATTACTATTACAGAAGAATCCTACTGGCTAGATGAGCTTTAGTTAATACTTAAATCACAGATATATTTCTGTTTATTAATATATTTTGAGTTAACTGAAAAAAAATCACTGTGTATTTACAAATATGTAATCACATTTTAATTTATATCCACATTTATTTTAAGGATGTCAGGCTGCCTAAGTGAAGCCCTTCAGGAAAGAGGTAAAAATAAATGAGACCTACTGGAACTCTTTTTGCATTCCCTTTCCTCTGGAAGCCTTGTCATTGTATATAACTGCCCAGTCACAGAAGCTCATCTCTCTAAACAGAATACATTAAGTCAAACTATAGCGCTTTTTTGGAGATGGATACCAGTCCTACATATGCTCTTGTGCTAGAGAATCAGCAATTGAAGAGTGAAGATTTTGACATGCTAGAAAATACTGGCATGACCTCTGCTGGCAGAGGAAAGTTATCAACAGATTTTAATCCTCAGAGTGTTGAAACCTCAGCTGAAAAGCACTCTCTGCAAAGAGGCTTCTCACTAACTCATGCTGACCAAGAAGGCAAAACATCCATTTCTGGAATCTCTGATCCTCTTAAAGTTACTGAAGAACCTCAGGTGTGGAATTTAAAACCTGATCTAGAGATACCATATCAAGCCAAAATTGCATCAATACCACTATCTTCTTTGCCATCTAAACTACAGGAACTACTATCAGCTGCCGCAAAAAATGTCTCTGAAGTATGGCAAGCTACAGGAACAGAATCTGTAATTTATGTATGGCCATTAATAAAGTTAGAAGAGGCTTCCAGCTCCTTTTGGAACAATTTTTCAAAGTCTTTAATACCAAGCAGCGAAAACTTTCCAAGACACTGTTCTAGTCCTGATATAACTGAAGATGTGAAATGTTCCCAGATAACCCCAGAGAAAGAAGAGCCAGCCAGAAAGACAGCAAGATCCTATCCTCTTATTGTAAAATCATCTAACACTGGTGTTTCAGAAATTTTGAAGTCACTCATCACTATGAAGAATAAGGATTATAAGGATATGTTACCACTTTCATCTGTCAGTTCCATCGAAGAGCAAGTGGAAATTCCTCTCTTTAACGGAAATGCTCTAATGATCTATAATAGGCAAGTCTATCTTCTATATGTAATGACGCATGAAGATCTGACAGCAGAAAGGGAAATGGTTTGGTATCATCCTATGTTGCTTGTGAAGACCATGGTTTGGCTCATTACATGTGGTTCTATCCATAATCTACCTTTCGAAGTTCCACACCCACTGCTGCCAAGAGAGAATGCTGTGAAACAGAACATAAAATGTCTTACAACCTGTGCTACCCCCACACACCAAGACAAAACGTCAAATGAAACACATTCCTCTTCACATGAGATGACTACCATCTCTCAGCCCAAGAACTGCTCCCCCTCTACTGCGAAAATGCAGCAGGTAGTAACCTATGATGATCAAGTGATTGTCTGTGTATGTACAGTAAATTACTTTCCTCTTAGATATAGCTGAATGCAAAGTGCATTTTTCAAAATATCACTGTGAAAGATGAGTGACCTGGTTTTGTTCACATTTTTGTGGGGAAGCCAAACACAAATCCAGTGGACAAAATCACTGTAGAGTAATCTGAATTTAGGCTTGCAGGTCTATAAGACTTTACTGTTTAAAAAGAAAATAAAATAATGCTGAGGAAAAAAATAAATCGTGAGATATATCAAGATTTTTCTAGTATTTGAACAGGACAAAAGCACTGCACTTAATGGGAGCAGCCTGTTGCTATTTAGAGAACACTAGAGCAGAATTTAGTATAATGGTAAGATATTTCCCAAGGGAGAAGGTGGGGTTTCTGAAAACAGGTGGTGAGTGCCATCATGATCACTTTTTAAAGTAGCAGTGGAAGAATAGAGAAGGGCTGGCTTACAAGGTCCTTCCTGAATTAAATTCCTCTGGCAAAGCCACATCCCCAAGGTAAGAAAGACTGCAGAAGAAAAGCTGTGAAGATAAACTGGGGTGGGAGAAAAATTACTATCCAGCACTCACTTCCTGACAGTCAAGTTCTATTCTTTCCTGTTTCAGTTCCTCAACGAGACTGTATCTCCATCCAAAGAAAGCTTGGAAAAAAGAAATGAGGAAGAAGCACCTGAGGATAAAGACAAAGAACTAAGAAAGAAATCTGGTATTGTTAAAGATGTAAGGGTCAATCTCACCAGGCTAAGTCCCTCTGAACTTAAGAAGTATAGTGGTAAAGCTCCTGCACATAAAAGGAAGGTAACCACTAGGGCAAAGAACTGACAAAAAGTGCCAAACATACTTACCTAGCCATGTACAAATATGAAGTATGCTTCACCTTGAAATATTCATTACACAACACTAGCACACTTCTCAAAAATTTTTAGCATTTGACCCCACGATATAAAATGTTTTCTATTTGAGAATCTCACCACACTTACTTTTAAAATGTCAGGATCTATCTTCTTTTTTCTCCCCTAGTTCTTGCAAAAACTGTGGACAGAATGCCAGCTGTTGCTGAAATCTTTTCTGGGTCTGTATTCTGTTTGGCACTCATACAACTGCAACTGAAACTAGAAAAAGTGCCTTCTGACCTCTTACTGATAGTAATGGTTTGCCGTCGGTCTGTGCCAATGTGTATCTCATAGGCAGAAACAGGAAGCTCTTCGTACCTGTGCTAGGCTCTTTCTGGTTTGGGCATATTGCTGTTCACTTTAAGATGCCAGAAGCACAAACCACATATTTATAGTCATTGACCTGCTTTTGAAAGAGTCTCGCCCTATGGCCTTGTTTAGAAGTATCTTTTGGCAGTTTTGCTTAGTATCATCAGAGACTCTGGGAATAGGTGTTTGCTTTCTCTAATCCCTCAGATTTTCAAACTCTCAGTTCAGATTGGCCTCTTGTATCCATTTTCTATTTTTCTACAACAAAGCTCTTAAGACTGTTTCAGCAGGCAGACTGGACATGCATTTCCAGAAAAACCTTTGTTCAAGTTCTTATTCTACAGATAAATTAATGACCAATAATGAATTAGTATTTCTCCTAGATCTATTATCTCTTGTTCAGCATTAAACTTCCATTTCTGTCAACTGGATTTTAAACTGTCATGACCCAGCCTTTCCAAGATCTCTGAGAATGGTCTGCTTTTGTTGTCCCTGAATGGGAGCATCATTGGTGTACCCTCAGCATTCATGAAAATATACTGTATCTTTTTGTGAAATATTTCAGGGCCAGGTAAAGCAAAAATTTCCAAAGAATATATTGAAAAAGCGTAGGTAAAACACCTAGATTTTTTACCTTTGTGCCAATACCCTAATGAAACATCCATTGCAAGAAAATTAGCGTTGGCCATCATTTCTCCTACATATGCTGAGGCAGACTCTGAGAATAGTCAAATTTTTATGGTGTTTCTCCATCTATACATACGATAATTTTTTCAGCATATGTTCCGGAAATCAAATAGGATCAAACACCTAGTGAAACATTTTATGTTTGGATTTATTTTACAGCTGTTTTACACAGATGCTTCCACTTGCTGAACTGCAGTGGAGTGCTTTCAGTTACAACAATGTTATTAGTAGTTCTCATTAACCTTAACAGTTATCTTGACTGCTTTTCAATATTTTCTGCTGCCATGTCTTTTTCTTTGCAGATTATATTCACTTTGTTACATTCTGTCCTTTTATGCAGACTTTGATCTTTGCAGTTAGACTCGTTCAAGTAATAAAAAGATGCTGCATCTTTAAATTGTTCTTCATTTCTGACTTTCTCTGGTTTGTGTATGTAAAGGTTATGACAGTGAGATTAACCTACATTTGTTGAGTCTTGACGGAGGACCCTTCAAATGCAAGTGCCCCTTGCTAAAGGGAACACCTCTGCAAAATGTTTTGGTTTATATACATGATTTACGAGAAGAGTAATTATCGAAGTAACTGGAATACTGGATCTTCTAGAAAGACAAACATGGTATTCCAATGTTGAATGCAATGGAAGAAAAATTGGTAAGGATATAACTAAATACATAATACATATACTGTTCAGTATACAAAAAATAGTACTCAAAGTGAAGGGGTTGCTGGAGCAAGAGAAACATGGTAAGTAGGTTACATCCAGAGGGCAAGAGAATGACAGATACTAAGAGATTGTGGAACATGGTGATAGGGGAGTAAGAATTATAATGTATTGTGAATAGCAGATAGAAATGATGATTCAGAAGCTACAGTGTAACACAAAACCAATATCTAAATTGTTTTCCTAATTTTGGTATCCAGTATGATTATTAATTTTAGTGGAGGTAGTGTGCTGCTTCCCAGTCCTTCGGCTCAGTCCCATTAGCAAAGTACACAGGAGCTGATGGCAAATATAGTCACGTAGCTTTGTTTGGAGCTCTAACAAACATCCTGAGGGCAAGAGTCCTTCATTTTCAATCATGTGATGATAAAGTTGAAAATACTGACATTAAAAATTACTGGGGAAAAAAAGTGATTTAAGATCGTGAAGTATTTTTTTAAATTTTGAAATATTGTGCTGATTATCATGTCACCAAAATTCTGAGATAAACTGTAGCCAGGGAAATGCTAGGAATTCGACAGCTTGGGAAAATGAGAGTTCAAAGCTCAATGGATATTGGGGAGGTGGGGAAGGGCAGGAGAGCTGTATGGAAAAAAAAATCCTATAAAAGAGGAAGGTGAATGACTGACATGTACTATACTCAGTATTTTGCCTTTTACATTTTCAACAAAAATGTGTACTTCACTAAGAATTATTCTCCTTGCTTCAAGGAGTGGCAGAGCAGTGGCAGGGAGACTGTCACCAGGGTTTTATGTGCTTCCAGTAAATAAAGACTGATATTCATTCTTCTGTTACTCTCTTCTGCCTCTCAGAAGCCTCTACTTAAAGAACCTTTTCCACTATGCTGTCTCTGTTCTTAAGCTTCCAAATAAGATGATGTATATATCAGTGGAAGGCTTTATAAATAAGACAGAATTACAAGAGTAAAATGAAAGCTTTCTAGGATTTTTATGTTGACAACTTATGTTTCCAGGAAAGTACATAGTACATGAATCATTTACACTGCATAAAATCAACAATAACTCTCTGGGTTTCCTAAATCAAAGTGTTGTTAAATCAAAATAATTGTAATGCGCCTCAGTAACGACTCATGTATGTGCTTTCAGTTATTTGCCTATGTTTATAAATCCAGTCCCTAAGGCAAAAAACATGTGAAACAGTCCCAAGACCTCCCCTTTGGGGAGTCATGAATGGTTCAAAATGAAATACTTAATAAGTTCTTCCACATAAAGGGTTACCTCTGATTAGCCAGCCAGCTACTGGAGCTGATGACTACTGCCTCTTGGTGCTAACGTGCGTTTGCTGGTTTACGCTGCAAGAGCTCAGTACTGTGCAGCGTGCCTGCCTCTCCTCCAGCACAGCGCAGGAACTTTGAGACTGCACGTGCCTGGGTGTTCTTCCCATTGTGACTTCTGCGACTTCCTTGGCTGCAGGACATGAATTTGAATTTGAACAACCACACTGCCATCAGGATGTCATGGATGGAAATATTTCAGACGTGAAGGGACACCATTACTGCCTTCAGCCATGAGCTGTTGTCAGGACTTTGCTGTTATCACTCAGACACTGGCTCTCACCTTGAGGTGCCATGCGAAGCCTGACTGGTTACTAACCAGTTTGGGGTCATCAGATCTTCTATGCAAAGTAGTATTTTAGGTGTCCACAGCTACTCTCCAAACCATTTTCATTTCAAACAGCACATGAGAAGTAATTTTTTAGCACATGGTTTATTTATCATTATTGATTATATTATCGTCATTGGTATTAGCAACCTCCACCAGAATACCTGATGCCTGTGGCTCCTACAGCTGTAGCCTCAGACTTAAGGAGAAGGCTGATATCTTCTTTCAAACAGAAACAACCATTCTTAGTGTTTTCATGTCCATTTGCACGGTGGAGGTTCAACTATGCTGTGCATTCAGATCTAAAAGTGGACTGAAGGAGAATATGCTTAAATAGCAATGCCTTTTCTGTTGGATGACTGGAAAGGCTTCACGAAAGGAAAACATATTTCTAAAATTCCTCTGTGTCATCTTTCCCCTACTTTAAAAGATGGGTTGAGGGATGCCTCTCTGCACCTTTAATGTTTGTCTGCTTCATTCAGCCTATTGTCCTTTAAACAAGAATGTGTATTCTGGATCTTTTCTCTGGCATTCTGTGCCATTTTTTGGCCTTCATGTACACTGCTATGTGCCCATGATGGCGACTTTCTTCAGAAACCCCAAGAAATCCTGACCGTGTTTAGGAGGATGCCAAAGGTGAGTGCAGCTCAGTAGTCCTTGCCTTGGAAGCTGACAGTGTTCACATTGGGGGTGGGAAGTTTGACAAGCACTAGGAAAAGGCTGATTTGGCCATAAGAGATTGAAAGGTGCCTTCCTCTCTCTTTAAGTGAGATGAGAACTTTTGTATCATCGCCCTCTCACTTCTTTCCATCTTTGGCTAAAAAT